AGCAAATGTCATTTGTATATAATTACAAACATTGTATGTCATGCTAGGAGATGGAAGGATGGCGATCCTACCACTACAAATAAAGAGGTTAGGAGGAAAGGTTTCTAGAATATGCAGACATAAATAGAGGGGTAATGTTAGGGGTATATTCCATGTATCTATCTTGTCACCATCACAAAAACAGTCTAGTGTCTAGTTGCTTGACATGTGGAACAAAAGCTTGGAAGAGAGATCAAGATGGTGCTCACCAAGGTCCTTTCGATTCTACAATTCTGTAAAACAGAAAAGCACAATATCTTCAAAAGAAATGCTAGGGAATGTATATTAGAAAAGAAAGCTACTTAGTCATCTTCTAATACAGACACTGTAGGGTATACTTGGCTCCCTTTACCTTCATTCTAATTTATCTGAGATCTAATTTATCTTTAGAAAGTATGAAAGGTAAAAAATAGAATAGTGGAAACCAAACTATGGGAATGTAGGTTCTCCCACGATCTCACATTAAGGGTATGAGAAAATGAAAGAGATAGAATATGTAGGATTCTATAATGTAGAAGATAATGAAAGACAACTTCAGAAAGAAAGAGGTAGGGCATGAATTCCAGCAGCACTGTGAAAAACATGTGATGCAAATGTTGGAAGTGCAGGGTGGTGGTTGGTTCCCAAGAGCAGAAGCTGTAACAACAAGGACTAAAGAGGCACCACACAGGGCATTACATCAAGTTACTTAGAGAATGCCGATGACATTTTGTGGGCAGTTTCTGCAGTGAGAACAGTAAGAACCTAAGTCTGCCACCGAGCTAGACAAGGAAAAGAGGACTGTCGATGGCTTGTTAGTGGAATCCATTCTAGACAACTTGATTGAGAAGTTGAATTGTAATAGAAGAAAGAAAAACAGGACTGTAGCCGGAGTTGGCAAAACAGACCAGTGAAGATGGTCTTCGTTTCCCTTTGTAGGCAGAGAAGAAGGGAGAACTGGTGGAGAAAGATTAAGGGATAATATTATTAGTACTGGCAACAACATATTCACTGAAACTGAATGAATTTCAGTGCTCAGCATGTAATAGCACTCACTTTGTAGGCACTATCATCATGAGGAGTGAAATGGGAATTCTACCTGTCTCCTCAAGTTAAAGCTCCAAACGACCCTGTGATATCTGTAGGTGAGGACACTAAGCATTGTCAAATCAGTCATGAGAATAATGGGATCAAGTAGACAGTTGAAAGTTTTAGCATTTTTCTCATATGTTAGGGAAATAATGCGAAATTCAATATTTAAAAAATGAAAATTGGAGAAGAAAGTAATAAGGTAAACAAACCTATCTGTGGAGCCAAGCTACTTAAAACATTAAAGTTGATAAATACCAAGAAGAAATTCTCAGGACATTGACATTATACCAATGAAAAACCAAGGTGAAGGGAAAGATGGTCTGGTTGCTGAAGAACAACCATCACGCCAAAGATGCAGGGTGATGAAATTGGCCCTGTCAGGCTGACAGACATCATAAGCAGGGGCTCGTTGCTCAGGGCCTGATTCAGCCAATTTGCTGATTTAAAATCCTGTTGTCATCGGATTTGTATTGTCAGGAAATCATGTGTCACCAAAAATGAGGAATACAGGAACATACTAATGTAACCTCAACAAGATTACCGCCCAAGGCCTCTAAAGTCCTTTAAAAAATAGAACAGAACCACTCAAGCAGAGGAGGCACAAAGTCCAGTATTTTAAAATCAGTCACAGCTAATTCCTATTGGAAATTACTAAATTCCATTAAAAGTCACTTCTAGCAACATTTCCTTTAAGAGTCAACTTATTTTTAAACCTACAAAATGAATTCTAATCAAAATAGCTATTGATTCCTCAGAGGGGTTGTCCAAGTAATTGACTTTATATTTAAATAAATTTAAGATTGATGAGGAAACTCCAATAGAAAAGATATTCTAGCTTTATCTCTATTTCAGAGCTAAACTTCACGTCTTAGAACTGACCCAACCAAAGCAGGCTTTTCTGGGGCTCTGGGAAGGGGGGACAGGAGTTCCCTTACATGTGTAGTTTGTGCAGATGGGCAATGCAATACTAGTTATTTCCCCCTTTTTGGATGGAAGGAGGCACAAAGCCCACTGGATTTTAAAGGCATGCTGTTTATCACTGTCTCGGTGACCAAGGCGTGAAAGCTGTTTCTGTACCATGGAACAGCTTTCCCTTACTGACAAGCCATAGAAGGGCAGTGAAGCCGCCAGCCCCAGGGTGTTTCAGAACCTCCGACAGCTCTCATCCTAGCAATGCCGCGCTCCCAAAAGACAGAGGGGCTCCGCGGCAGAGAATGCTTCAGCACGTCGGACAGTTCCCCGCCCCAGCAATGGGGCCCTCCCAAACTGCTGATAGCAGTGTTTTAAAAGGTCGCGCCAACAGGCAAAGAATAAAGTGCAATGCATTCCTAATTAGCTGCACATCTTCTGGTTTACATTTGGGTAGCAAAATGATGGCTCTAAATTCTCTAATCTTGACAAGAGCTGGTATAAGAAAAGCAGTTTTTACATCTACTATCTTTTTAAACGGGTATCTCTTAAACAAAAGGCAGTTATTGTTCCTGAAGGAAAAGTGATTTAATATGTACATCTACCCTTTGTAAATTTTTAGACATAACTTTTCCAGTTCTGAAAAGCCATTTCTGAGAAAAGCACACAAAGTTTTCAAGAAGTTGATGCCACATTAAGCTCTGTCATTGATTTGATCAGACATTTTAAATACATATATATGTATGTATTTCATAAGGACAATATATGCATGTACACTATGTTTATACCCACACCTACATAATAACACACACACACACACACACACACACACTCTTCTGTATTTTTCAGGAAAAAACACTGATGTCAGGGCTTCCTGAATTTAAGTCAGATACACTTAAGTCAGAGCCACATCTGCAGAAATCATTTGCAAATGTCAGATCCCTAATTTGTTCCTCAGTTCAACCCTTTGCTTATCTGAGAAACAGTTCTAGGCATATATCAAACCGAAAAGAAGGAACTGGAACTATATGCTCCAAACTAAGATGGAAGGGGGAAAAAGGAGAGAGATGGGTGGAGATCATCTGAAATGAAATTCAGAACCTGTTGCCTTTCCTTTCTCCTAGCGACACCTAGAGCCTGTGATAGGGAAACTGCATTGTTCTCCAAGCATAACACAATTCCAGTTTAAAGTCAGACTTAAGGCAAAAAGTGCATAATTTCTGTCTGCATTGCAGTTCAATTGTCTTCCCCAAGATTCTCAATAGTTTAATCCCCCAGAATTTTTCACCAACCCCAATAAAACCCCTCCTCAAAGACTTCTAGTTCCTTGAACCAGATGTCTGAAGAATCCATCCATTTCCCTTAGGACCTGACCCACTGAAGTGAGGGACAGCTCTCCGCTCGCTATCTATGTAACCAGGGGAGCCTGGAAAGGATCCAAAAGAAAATAAGAAAATGTCATGCAAGATCTGATACAAGCTGTGAGGTGTGTGTGTACACACACAAACTGCACTTCCCACAAACTTTCATCATCCCTGTCTTCACATCTTCCATTCACAAAACAAAAACGACCAGCAACAACAACAAAACCTCAGATTTTTCAGAATTGTCCCTGTGAAAGCTCTCAACACCCGCCCCCCAACCTCGCACTATTAAAGAAAACCCAAATGGTGAAGCAGTGTGACCCAAGGCAATGAGCACAACTGTCTGCTCAGTGCAGGGACATGTACTGCCCTGGGTATGTCAGGGTGGGCTATCTGAGGCTTGTATGAGGACCTGTGCCCAGGTGCCCCCAGACAGGAAACTGCTCAAAGGTACACGCAGGGAGTTCCACAAGCCAACACACCCTGCATATCTCTACGGGCTCTACAGCAGCCAGGACAGCTCTGCCTGCCAATCCAAGAGCTTGTCTGGGATTTTTCTCTTTTCCCCAGGAAGAGAACATCTCAGCAGGCAGTTGCCTCTCTCTGTGGTCCTCCCTGGCCCTTGGAATAGCTGGAAGGGATCAACAGAGGTGGCTGGATTCATCCATCTAAGCTGCCCGCTAGTGTCCTGACTGAGTCATCAGTTACTAAGGTGATATGCAAATCCAACCTTTGAACCAGGCTTCCAGCCCGAAGAAGAGTAGAAAACATGCTCCCTAAGAAGTTTTCTCCTAAAGCAGGTCTAAGGTAGAGCTGCTAGTCCAAGGCTAAGCATGGGAGACAGGCAGAACCTGACTTCCATCAGCAAAAATTGTGCTGGGGCCTTGGACAGGACGCTGGGCCTCAGATGCTAGTGTTTCGTGTCCCCCCCCCCCAAAAGGAAATCACCACCAACACTATCAGCACTGGAGGGGAAAGTGTCCTGGGGAGGTGAGAAGTAGAGGCCATTTGAGCAAAGGGACAGCGTGGGGGAGGTTGAGAAGGGCACAATGCATAGATTCCATTGACAGGTGGGAAGCCTGGGATTTTTCTTCCCCAGTCTCAAAGCAGGGGGGGAAAAAAAGGATGAAGGAATGAAGGAAGGGAGGGAGGGAGGGAGGGAGGGAGGGAGGGAAGGAAGGAAGGAAGGAAGGAAGGAAGGAAGGAAGGAAGGAAGGAAGGAAGGAAGGAAGGAAGGAAGGAGGGAAGGAAGGGAGGGAGGAAGGAAGGAAGGAAGGAAAATCAAGTTGTAAGCACAGACTGAATTCTCGCCTTAGGAAGCATAACAACGTACAGTAACCACAGACGTTCACACACCCAGTGACACCCCCCAGCCATCCCACATCCCAGCAGCACAACCCCACAGACGCTGCTCTCTCAAGCACCAACTCCTGGCCGCCGCCGCTGCAGACCGAGACCCGCTCTGGGACGGCGGTGACCGAGATCGGCGCTGAGGAGCGAATCTGCTCCGGGGAGGCAGGAGAGGAGGGGAGGGGAGGCAGGAGGGCGACCCCGACCCTGGGAGATGCGGAGATGCGGAGCGGACGCGCCTCCCCCCACCCACCAAGATGCTCTTACGTCCTCGTCGTCACCATCGCTCCGCGCCTGGTACTGGAACCGGGGCCGGCCGCCCGCGCCGCTGCCGCCTCCGCCGCGCTCCCGGGGCGCCGCCGCGGCCGCCGGGGCTCCGAGGGGCTTGGGCCCCGCGCCGTCCTCCTCCGGCCCCTGGCCGCCCAGGAGGTGGCTGGCCTCGGGGGGCGCCGGGAAGGAGCGCGAGGTGTTGATCTTGCCCGTGAACCTCTGGTACAGCGAAGCCATCGGTGCCCGCGCCCTCGCTGGCTGCCTCGGGGGCGTGCAGTGCTTCGCCTGCCCCTCTCGGGCTCCCGCTCCCCACCCCCTCCGCGGGGACAGGGAAGCAGCAGCAGAAGAAAGGGAAGCCGGCGGCTGCCGCTCCTCCCGCGCGCCACTCTCAAGTCGCCGCCGGGCGACTGCCTGGCTCGGCTCCTCCGCCCCCTCCCCCGGCGGCTCGGCGGGGCCGGGGGTCTGGGGGTGTGGGCTCTGCCTCGCTTCTTTCCGCTTTTCTCAACTCCTCGCCACGGCCACGGACGGCCCAGTCAAAGGCCCTGGAGAAAGGAAACCCCCCCAAAAAATAAAGGGAGGGAAAATGCCTAGGCCCCAGAATTGGCACCACCTAGAGCCCGGCGAGCAGCCGGCGCGCATCTCAGCGCTCCCCCCACCCCGGCCCCTCGCGCGGCTCCTCCTCCCCCTCCCCAGCGGCCCCTCGGCGCGCCCCGGTAATGGCGCCGGGGTGGCAGGGGGCTGGCGGCGCGGGGGCGGGCCGGGGGCTGGGCGGGGGCGTGCGCGCCGCGGGGCTCGGGGCGCTCGGGGCCCGGGGGGAGGTCACACCCCTCGCTGCGCGGAAAAGGCGCAAACCGCGGAGGGTTCGGGGGTACTCAGGCCTGGCAGAGCCCCGAGGGCGCCCATCCTCGGCGCGGGGCTGCGCTCTGCGTCCTCACGCTCGCACCCCGCGCAGCGGCGGCCTCGCCTCCTTCCCAGCGCTCCCCCTCGGGGTTCCCTTCCAGCTTTTCTTGCCTAACTTGCAACAACAACAGCCAAGACCCCTCGGGCCTGGGGGTGCCAGGTGGGGCGAGGGAGAGCGAACAGCAGGGCTGAAAAGGGAGATGGCTCAGACACACCGCTTTCTAAGGAGCCCTCCTTGCTCCCCAAACCAAGCTCGTCTCCGAAAACAGATTCATTGTCCTTCCCCCGGGCGCAAAACGAAGGGAAAAGCAAAGGTCGTGGAAGGCAAGCCAGGGAAGGCCTGGCGGAAGCCTTCCCAGCAACTCGTGGAACGCTCCTCCCTACACTTCCCAACCCGTTTGTGCACATCACGAACTCCGTGTTCGTTTTCAGTAAACAGAAGCGGAGGCCGAAGCTTTGGGGATGCCGGCAACTTCTCCAAAGCTTGCTCCGCCCCCTCACCCCCGACTGAGAGGAAGGGGCCAGGGAGAAACCACACCAACAGGGCGCTGGGCTCCGGTGCGCATTCGCGCATCTTGCTGCAGTGAGACGTGCTCCAGCGCCCCTGCGTGGAAAGACACCAACACGGCTGGGCGCCCGGCTCCGACTCCAGGCGCAGGCGGCTTTCTCTCCTCCCTTTCCTGGGGTGGACTGCTCCCTCGGGGCCTCTGGGAGCCTCTCCCTCGTTCTCAGATCCGCTCCTCCAACTTTCTTGAGGCTCTTGGGGGCTCTTCCTTCTCGTCCCGTTCCCATATCCCCTTTCCTCTAGTTTATAGACCCTCCAGCTGGGACAGATCTGTCCCAACTTGATCTTCAGCGGAAACTAGGACCTGAAACTACGGAGGGAGGGGACAGGTGGAGGGCTCGCATCTGCCCACATTGCGGTTCCTTCCACACCAGGCCAAAGTGGACATCTTCATCTTCACATTCTTCCCGGACACAGTGATGCTCCCTGCTCCGTCTAGGTTTCCAGGACTATTTGACTTAGGTTTAAAAAAATAAAAAGGCAAGGCCATGGCCACTCAGCAGGCCATACTGCGGGCTCACCAGCCTTTGGTGGTCTGAATCCAAGGCGATCTCCTGGCATCACTGCCCAAGCTGGGATAGCCCCGAGAAAGGTCCTACCTGGTCCTGAAATTGTCTCTTCCCACCAGTGTCCTTAACTTGGAGAAACTGGATGCTGGAATAAGCCTCCTGGGAGGACATACGTTCCAGTCCCTTTCACACTCTCCCCAAGTCTCAACCCAGGGGGTAGTCTTGTTTTAATTAAAATGTGTTATCACACCCATCCTCTGTTTAATCCACTGTGGTTTCCTTCCACTATGAAGAAAAGTGTGATTGTTAAACTAGTTTAAAGACACGTTTCCTTTAGGCAACCGTGAAAACAAGTAAAACCAATATCCCAATAACTAAGAGGCTCCCTGAACCAGCAAAAGGCCTCCAGCATAGGCAGATGTCCCTCCCACAAGTCTGGGGGTGCAGTGAGCTTCACCAACCCCTCTTTACTTTGAAGACAGAGGCAGCAATTACAAGAGCCATAAAATGAAACTTTAAAAGTCATCACATTTAGATAAATAGGAAACCTTGCTGTCATCCCCCTTCCCCCGCCCCAGCTGTGCTTTTGATGGGAGGAAGCTGCCTTTCCCAACCCGACTTGAAAGGAAAGCTCAAGCTGCTCCCTGCAGCATCTAGGTCCTGACATTTCACTAAATATAGATGCTGTTAGGGTCTTACTTATGTAATACACATATGAAATTTGCATGTATATATTCACACAAACCATAAGAAGTAGCATTACATATTGCTTGTACTAACATTTTATACAAAATACAATATTTATACAGAAATAGCTTACTTATCATACCCAATGCTTTAGAGAAGTATGCATATCCACAATAATGGGTTGAAACTGGGCTATGGAAGGCACGTGTGGCCCTCACTTTTAAAAATCATTCTCAAAGGAGCTTGTGGGTATTCAAATAACATTTGGTCAATGTCAGAAATCCTAACTAAATGATTCAGACAACATAAGCAATTTTTATTTAAAATTATTTATAAAGTGAAGAAACGATAAGACTCATAAACAACTGAAGGGAGAGTTGAGTATACGTTTGTGTTGAGAGAGAACAAATCCGAAAATTAAACAGGAGAAACGGGGGTGGGGGTGGGGGGTGCTCAGGCCCAGCTAGAGCCCCGAGGCAGGTGGAGCTCCCGAGGCAGGTGGGAGGACTGGAAGAACAGCAGCGGGAGATCAGCGTGCACCAAGCCTTTTCAGGTGCCTTTTCAGATGCCCTCTAGACTGAGGGCCCACTGCCTCCCTCCCAAAGATTTGCTACTGTCCTCCACCTTGCACTCAGAGCACCACTCATCCTCAAGACTGTTCTAGACTCTGAGTGTGAATACACACACAAGTATTTGCACACACTTCACGTGTGTCTTAAGTATTTCTTTACAAAGGGCAGTGTTATTTTTAATATACTGTCAGGACTCGGAAGTCTCAAATGCAACAGAGTCAGCCAGTTAGTGCGTTGAGCCGCGTGAGGAAATGCAATTGCAGAAAATTGCAGCTACGGCATTTTGTGTTTATGATACGTAATTAACTCACTTATTGCCTTCAATAGCTTTTTCAGACCCCCATTCCTTAAATAGGGGGAGAGGTTCTGAAGAGTAGCAGAACTTCCCAATGAGCATTTAAATATAGGTGCATTTCAGAAGGGCACAGGTCAAGAACCATGTCTCTGCTCACCAGTCACCAAACATCTTGAATATGCTCTATCAAAATAGATTCCCACTTCTGCTTATTGGGTAAATATGGGAAACTAGTTTTTGGAAAATATTTCATGGATTATTTCATATCAAGATATTAATTCCTCAATACTGCTTAAAACTGAGTCCACTGACCCATTTTTTCCATCAAGTTGCAGATGATTATTTTTCCCCTATTTATTAAATAAAGGTGTGGGTGTGTGTTTATTTTCCTTGGAACCAATTTACAAAACAAATATGGTAAGTCATTGGAATTAGGCAAATGCTGCGAAATATGGTGAATAGTCATTTTTTAAATGAAAATAGAGGGAACTTTGTGGTCCACATGCAAGCTAAGCATTGTAAAAATACCAAAAGTATATTGAGTTCAGCAGCCTAAGCCTGGTTTTGATTAGCTAAGAGGTTTTCTTATTTCTAGGAGAGAATTATATCCTAGAGTTTACATCCTCTTTCTCTGTGAGGGAAAAGAGGAGAACAGAGCCCTATTTGAGATTTTGATTCCTTCCAAAAGCTGAGACATGAGGGATGAAATGACCAGTAGCGTGCGCTGTGCTAACAGAAGAATTTCCCTAAGATATTGGACACCAGCATCCTCTAGGTATGATCACCTTGTACTCATACCAAAGGGGAGAAATAAAACAAATATTTGGGTAGTTTGAGAAAATACAGTGCTAAATACATAAATACAGAGCCTATTCCCAACTAAACTCTCTCTATATGTCTATCTTTAAAAAAAAGATTTTTTTTTTCTTGCAAGATGCTTATCCACAAGGGGGTCTGGGTAGCATGACTTCTTTACAAACTTTACAAATAGGAAATGTCCAGCACAAGAAAAACACAAAATTAAAGTAGGTGCTGAGTTAATCTTGAGCTTTTCAAATTGGTACTTAACAATTGTTTTAAAGAGAAACATTTATTTTAACCCAACAAAAAGTCTTACTCTAAAATTAATAAAGTTCGCTGTTAATCTCCCCATGGCACTTTTATTTGCGTTTTAAATCTCCCCAATGGCACTTTTATTTGGCATTGTGCACCTGTGTGTTTGGTACTCAGCACTAACAACTACTATGGACAACCAACCTCCCTCACCCTGTGCCCCCAAAACCCACGAGGTTAATCGACACAAGAGGCCAAGCTGATTGCCAAGTCAGTACAACAGCCACTGATTTAACTAAAAGGCTGGAGTCAACCTACAGAAAATATTTGTTCCAGGCCGGTGGCTGGGGGGCTGTCCCTCCTCTCCCGTAGGGGTGCTCCCTCTGGCCTCTGACACCTGAGCACCGCCCACCTCCCCTCCTCCCAGTCTTCATCCTTTCTTTCCTTCTCCTCCTTGTCCTTCATTCCTGTCCTTGCTCTGGGTCAATATCAATAGACTGTATATCTTTTTCTTCTCTACAAATTCCTTGCTGCTCTCTGAATACTTATAAAATCTCACTTTTAATGTCAGCATCTCCTCCGAAATTATCCAAATAATCTCTTTCCTTCCTGGAGGAGGCACCAACCTCTGTCTTTTCACATGTCCTGATTACACA